ACTCATCCTTCCTCTCTCTATTTCTCTCTCTCTCTCTCTCTCTCTCTCTCTCTCTCTCGTCTCCCTCCCGGGAGGCTGGGTCTCCTGACCCCGTGTGAAAGTCAGCGACACACATTCCACCACAGTCCACCCTTCTCTGGGAAAGTCAGACCATGCTGCATGAGAGACGGAGAGAGAACGAGAAAGAGAGAGTGCTGAAGGGAGGGAGAGCTTAGAGGAAAATGTGGATAGGCAGGAGAAGGGGAAAAGGGATTAAACAAAGAGACACAAACTTGTGTAGGGTGAGGCTCACAGTGTCTGCTGGGACACTCACACACTGGGCTCCATCCCTGTCTCTCCTTCTTCCTCACTTCCTGCTCCGTCCCTCCATCCTTTAATCCCCAAGTTCCCCTGCATATTGTTCCTCTTTCCTCTCTGGGAATTAGAAGTCTCAGTTTGATGAGCAATGTTTTCCACACAGATTTAGGAGGGATTCACAGGTATATTATGTATGATTGGTATAATGAAAGTGTATAAGCAACCCATTTGAGCATTATGCATTTCTATTTGTATGTTCGCTCATCAGAACGACGCCGTCCACGATCGATTAACTACTGTCGTAGACAAGAAGAGTTTACTGACAATCAGGAAAACACAGAGCCCAATTCCTGAATAGAATCAATCCAGAGTTCACGATTAGACTCATTAAGACCTCTGCAGACACAATTCTGTCAATTTCCCACACCTAACTTTTTTAATAAGTTATTAGAAAGGTTAAGGTTAACATTAAAATACAGCTGGGTTGGTTAGCATTGGGTGTGTCTCTTTGCACACACATTCACATAACCCCTTACACTGATGGTTCATGCATTTTTACAATAACTGCCATACTTATATTGGGTTCATTTTCTGTACAGTTAAACTGGGTTTTAGAAGATGTATTTAGCTCCAATTGGAGTGGTCATATAATGTGATATTTACAGTATTGTCTATAAATTCATTAAGAATGAAAAACACTCTTCTTCTAATATACACACAAGTTGAATTTATAAGCATTTAGAAATTCTAACCGTACTTAACCCGACTTAATTGACCCGGAACCAGTACAGTAGCTTATGTTGGCTAATGTAAGCAAAAATGCTGACAGATGTTTCTAATCAACTGATTCTACTGAGTCATGTCATCGGATGTATGACTATTTTTGTCTTGTACTACTGTATTACTAACTAGCAATTTTCCATAAATTAAACCGGCCACTTTGAATGCTATTCATCATATGTAGAATTTGTCAAAACCGCCCTCACATCTGAAGTATAACGTAGGATGTTATGACATTTTGATCTTTATTTTTGGCAATCTTCCTGCCAAAACATCATCCCTATATGCTCTTTGAGGGCTGCACAGCTTCAGTCTTCAGTTTATGCTTATTTCAAAGGACATTTACCTTTTAATACTTATTACTTTGCTCTTCAGTCTGGTTTTCATCAAGCAAAACACATGCTAAGTTGGATTTACCTGGGTTTATGTTGAACTTCAACATTATTATAATTTTCATTTCAAATGTAATGCATTGAATGAGAGCCCAAAAACTACATAAAACATGACCGTCCAAATACTAACAGACTGCAAAATATATATTTCAAGTGAGTTATAACTTGGAGAGTGAACAAATTGTTGAAGAGGAGAAATGTGGTTCTGCAAGGAAACAGGTGAAAACAGAGCAGCCTAAAAGAGGGATAAAGAAGAAAACTCCCATGCATTGCCTGTAACCAATCCACAGCTCACACTAAATATTGTTGGACATTATATAGATAGAGCAACTGACAGAGAGAATCACTGTCCCGTTAGAATAATGAGAGAGGGGGCCAAACGACCGCAGATTGGGTGCCCGGCCCCTATAGAAAGGGCCCTCTTGACTTGATCCTGGTGAAAGCCGTGTAAGTATGGAGTTAATCAAAAGTGTGTGAGGATGACAGGCAGGGGGGCCCTTCATGGAGCTGCACCAGGGGCCCCAGCTATACAAAGCCTGCAGTGTGGGGGGGGCGGGGTGCTATTCACACAGAAAGGGGAAGGGGAACAACACCAGGTAGTCTGTCCACTGGTGGCAATAAACTGAAATCAGTTCCGAGAGCCCACCAACGTCTCTGCATGATGACATCACACACACACACACACACACACACACACACACACACACACACACACACACCTTACCTCTGTTATAATGAAGAAGTCGTCACCAGGATCTCCTTGCACCACTATCTTCTCTCCATCCTCAAACTGAACGGGCTCCAGAGCGTCGGCCACAGTCAGACGTTCCCACTTGTCCAAAGACTCTGTCGTATCAATAAGGATAATGTGTTATTCACCAAAATGGTTGCAACAGTTAATAAACAAATGTACATGATTAAAATGTGTGTGTGTGTGTGTGTGTGTGTGTGTGTGTGTGTGTGTGTGTGTGTGTGTGTTCTCCATGATCTAAGAGGATGGCCATTGCTGGAAGTCCAGTAAGCCGGTGGGAACAGTAATTCCTACCCCGTGCTAATCCAGTCATTCATCAGGGACCATTACATCTCAGATGCCCCTGCCTCCTCCCTCATCTCATGGAGCCAAAACAAAATGACACTAACTCCTAAAGCTGTGAGGCCTAAGCTCCACTGATTCTGGGGTGTGGTGCCACAGAGCTTTCCTGTGTGTGACCATCAAATCACAGAAATATCTAAAGTTTAATCCCCGAACCAGTCCAGCTTCCTTGAAAGAGACGCATGCTAAGGGTTAACCGGCGTAGATTAACCCATCTGCTTGAGGTTTATTATAGTGAATATGTCATCAGTGGCTGTGATACATCTAGGGTAAGATGGGTGATCTAATGCTACTGGATTTCAACTGAATATATCCCCTCTGTGATTGTAAAATACCATTCAGTTACACACCAGAGAGTGTACTATAAAGAAATATTACATGAATTTAAATGTCATACAATACATCAGATTATTACTATTTAGATTAGCGAAACCTTAAAAATTATATTTTTTTACCCCAAGGCTCTTGTAAATTTAGAATTCCCTTGAATGCACAAAAAGTGAATTGACCATTTTGTGAATGAGTCCTGCCGAAACCCGTGATAGGATATGACTTTTTCAGTTTTGTTGATCCTCAGAGCCAGTGGCGACAGCTGTCTTTCCGACTGTCCAACCACATACAGTGACGTGGTTAAGCCCGGGATATTTCTAGAAGCCGTTGGTATTCACACAGAAACCAAAAACACAGACGGTCACACATACTGTATTCACTGGGAAAAATATTCCAACCAGAGAAGTTTTGAGCAACTCTTTAACATATTGATATTTATAGAAAGAGGACCCACAAATAACCGAATACCTCCACAAAGATGAATCAAATAAGCCTATCCTACTTTCACAATTTGGTAGATCATTCTTTACTGGTCTTAAAAGTCTACACGATCTGTGCATCTGCAGTGAAAACACTCCTCCCTTTAGTTTTGTCTACATAAAAGCATGATTCAGTGTTTGATTTGACTAAGACATGAGTTCGGGGCGTAAAACTTCAGAAGAATCTCTTTGTCTGAGACTGTTGTCTCCCAATGAGCTCAGTTACTGATCACAGTGTCTGTCTGTTTGTGTGTGGGTGTAAATGTGTATGTTCTTAGGATTAACTAAGGTGAAGTCTGATCAGTTGGAGGTGTCCAGTGTCCCCTCTGATGGGGCCGTGGTGTCTGCCGGCCCCAGATGGATGTCCTCTGTCTGGCTGCAAGCTAAAGGCATCAGGTCCTATAGAAGTGATCCCTAACAACTCGGGATGTAACTTTATACACAAATGTGCTGACTTAAGAACCTACATTTCACGCTTCACAGAGCCTGCACCCACTTGGATCCCCTTGGATCCCCTTGCTCCCAACGAACATAGTACGCACACAGGGAATTGCCCATTGGGATGTGTGACAAAGAACATGTTGTTTCACCCCCCCCCCCACATCACTCCTCGACATCAAGGGCTTGTACCCAATTTCGTGGCTATCTTAAAAATCAAAGACAAACAAAAACACTCCCGCCTCCTTCCCCTCCTCCAATTCAAAGAGGTGGAGTGGAGAAGCGGGGCGACAGAAAAAGGAATGAAGAGAGGAAAAGCACTTCGAAGAAGGGAGGCGGGCATTTGAATACAGGCCTCGACAAGGCTGTCAAAAAGAGAGACTCAGAAGAAAGGAGGTGAATGAAAAGAGAGGGGATCTCGCAGAGACGTTCTCATAAGACCTGAATTGAGTGTATGTGTTTACTCAGCCAGCTAATAACTCTGTACAGGGGGCACGGCCTTACTCTACACACCACACACACACGATCAAGTGGAATGGGATGGGATGTCAGTTCCAATTGCAACTCGTTTGAAAGTCTGAATAAACCTCATTCTCCATTGCGGCCTGAGTCGGCTGGTGTTATCTACACTGAACAAAAATATAAACGCAACACTTTTGTTTCTGCTCCCATTTTTCATGAGATGAACTCAAAGATCTAAAACATTTTCTACATACACAAAATAACCATTTCTCTCAAATATTGTTCACAAATCTGAAAAAATGTGTGATAGTGAGCACTTCTCCTTTGCCGATGCTGATTAGACAGCGATGACTATTTGCACAGGTGTGGCCTTAGCGCACAATAAAGGCCACTCTGGAACGTGCGTTTGCTTTATTGGCGGGGTTCTCATGTCTGTGGGGTCCGAAACAGTCAGTATCTAGGTGTGAGGGTTGTGGTTTAGGGTTTTAGGGTTAGGGGTAATCGTTGTGAATCCGATGTGGCCATGGGGTGGTGGGGTTATGGTATGGGCAGGGCCGTATGTTATGGACGATGAACACAGGGAGAAAAAAAAAAAAAAAAAAAAAAAAAAAAAAAAAATAAAAAAAACGCCAGCTCCGTCGATTCACCAACACACTCTGGCCACATAAAGGCCCTTCTGAAACGCTGCAGTTTTGCTTTATTGGGAGGGTCTGTGGGGTCCGAAAACACAGTTCAGATCTGGTGTGAAGGTAGGTTAGGGTTAGGGTATGTTGTGATCGAGTGGCCTGTGTCATCGGGTCCATAGTATGGGCAGCCATACCTATAACCCCACCACGCACCATCAGGCAACTCGATTTCACACATTACCTCTAACCCTAAACCCTAACCCTAACCCTCAACCAGGATAACTGTACTGGTTTTCGGACCCCCACAGACCCCCCCAATAAAGCAAAACAGCACGTTCCAGAGTGGCCTTTTATTGTGGCCAGCCTAAGGCACACCTGTGCAATAATCATGCTGTCTAATCAGCATCTTGATATGCCACACCTGTGAGGTGGGATGGATTATCTCGGCAAAGGAGAAGTGCTCACTATCACACATTTTTTTAGATTTGTGAACAATATTTGAGAGAAATGGTTATTTTGTTTATATAGAAAATGTTTTAGATCTTTGAGTTCATCTCATGAAAAATGGAAGCAAAAACCAAAAGTGTTGCGTTTATATTTTTGTTCAGTGTAAATTCCAGTGGTAAAAGCGAGGCTTATCTTAATTCGCAATTTTTTAATTGTCAACACAGCGACAATGCAGAATGTGACTGGCTTTATTATAAACAGTGCAAGAAGATTAGGACTGTACACAGACCTTACTCAGCCATGGGCCTTGTGTGACAACGTGCGCCTGTGTTTATGCGGGCTAATCTACAGTATATGTTGCAGACGGCAGATTTAACTGCCTGCACTCTGGACCCTCTGACCCGGTGTTTAAAATGAATACGAACCATGGCATGAAGGGGCAAACATCCCCTGCACTACACTCAATTAATGCAGAAATAAACAGAAGCTGACATAATTATCAAGTTTTTACAGTTTTTGCTAGACTTACCAAGGATGGAGACCTTGCTGAGGAACTCTTCGTACATCTTTCTCTTCCTCAGTGTGCTTCCCTGTAAGACAACAAGAGGAGAGACATAATCCACCATCACACACTCTGAAATTCTGGGAGCACGACAAAAAGAGCATACAAATTACATATGTTGTTACTCTGCAAACTATTGTGATCATAATACATTTAAGATTTTCCCTGAAACTGCGTTTCAATGGTTCTAATTTGTTAAAATACAAATAACTATTAGTTGGGAAATGCTGCTAAGAAACTACTAAGTTTTGAAACTGTACATGTTTGGTGAACAAATCAAATAGTTCACAAACAGTTTTTTTGGAACTAAAACATTGTTTTTACCTTTGTTACACTTTCATTCTGTTAATATATGGTAATATTTCTCTCTTTAATACATTTATCACTAAAATATGTTATTCTACTGTAACATTTATTTTGTAAGGCAACTAACCAATTGGTCTTGAAAGCTCATTTTGACATAAACACTTGAATATGTTGTAAATGATATTTTGAATGCAGTTCATGGGGTCACACAGAGGTGTGTATGACTTGTGTGGTAATGTTCATTGCATGTGTGTGCCGTGTGTGTGGCCCACCCCACCCACCAGGCATGGGGACTTTCCCCTCTCTGCCTCTGCCATGAGCATCAGGTGCTTCCTGACAAGTCTAGACCCAGAGGACCCCTTCCCCAAATGCATTTCTCCTTTTTTCCCCCACCTTAGATGCACAGAACCATCCGGAGAGATCGGGGGCATACAGAGGAACAGAGAGAGGGAGGAGAGATGATCTAGCCCGCCCTGTGTCTGCTTCTGCATATGGAAATGATATATTGAGGCTTGGGGTGTCTTTAGTGCATAAGTGCCTGATTCCCGCTGCTGCCTCTAATTTCATATAATTTCACATTTTGTCTTAAAAGGGGAGAAAATATTCCCAAGTGAGCCAATGTTAAGCTCAAAGCCGTAAACAACTTGATTAAAGGAATTCTAGCCTGCATCGCCTCCCTCCTGGATAAATGATTATGAGTGTGTGTGTGTGTGTGTGTGTGTGTGTGTGTGTGTGTGTGTGTGTGTGTGTGTGTGTGTGTGTGTGTCTGTGCGTGTGTGTTTGTGTGTGCAAAGCGTGGAGTTTGTTTTAGGTTCTGTCATTTTCGCTTCGCTGTATTTGCAGAGAAGACACTACATGCTCATTAAGCAAGCAAATACAAACACTCACACATGTATACTGTGCCTCTAACACAATCTCACACACACCCACAAACACACACTCACATGCACCTTCCAAAAAAATGTTGAGTTGGTCTCTTGGTTTCATAGCCTCCCCATAGAGCTCCTCAGACAGGCTTGCTGAGCTTAAAGGCTTACCATGCATACATAACATTACATTACATTACACAGCAGGTCTGATTTATGCTACGGGTGTAGGAAGGGCTGGGTGGGCCAACATGAGGGTGGAAGGAATGAAAATTATACTTTTCAGAAATTCTGATTCTGATGTCATAACTTATTTTGTTGGTGTGCATCTTTTTTGTCTTTTAAACTGTCCTTCTCCTTTCTTTCTACTTGGGAGGGCCTGAGCACATGCCTCACATACAAAACTCCCTTACTCTTGCTGGCCATAATGCTCCTCCTGTGGTTAAAGATGAACCAGCCTCTGTGTCTGCTGCCTGTCTTTGAGGTGGAATGATCAAAGGCTTGAGGTGTGGAGCGAAGCCAGTTTAAACCCACCATACCTTACGCCTCATCACCATTACCTTCATCTATGTCCAATATAAAATCCCATACACCCCCCACATCTCTCCGCATTTCTTGGTATCATTTCTCCTTGTCTCCTTTTGGTCTGTTTTCTGTTTGTTGACGGTGGTCTGTCAGTTTGTAAAGCTTTGTCTGTAGCTGTGCCTGTTTAAGAACAAAGATGACACAAAGAGGCGGGTATTGTATGACTGGCATCAACACAATGGAGAGAGTGTGTTAATCCCATGGAATGGTATAACATATTTGACTAAATGCACTCCTGGGTAAGGAGGAGAGGAGGATGTTGGGGTTTTGTGTTACAAGATAACTGACATGTTCTCTCGTGGAAGCAGCTTCAAGACCAGTTCTGATAATGCTGACATCGGTGTGTATATTTTTTTCATTGGGTGATGGTAAAAGGTCCAGGGTAAAATAATCTACAGATGAACATGTACAGTACATGCACTAAAATAGGTCTGGAATACAAATATGTATTAGTAATATGTATTACACTTTTTGTTATATTCCATGGAATGCTCTTAACATCCCGATAGCAATGAATATCTGAAGTGCTTTGACAAAAAATCCATAAAAAAATGTCATCTGTGGAAGCCGTAGTACTGTAAAAAGCACGACCAATCATTTTAGCCGGCCCGGCTAAAGTAACTGGATGGCCTACCTGCCTGTCAGCCTTCCATCTGTGCACAAACCTATCTCATGCCCTCATTGGTCATGTGCGCGTTTGTGTGTGTTGGAGGAGGGGCTCTATAAGGAAGTGGCAGATTTGTTCCAGCTGTGTATTTTCAAATTCTAGCACACTCGAGCTGGTTTCTCCAAAATGACCTACCCCACCTTTAATTAAATATCTTTTAAATGTTAAATAGAACTGCCTCACAGTTGTATGCATCCACCAACCAGTCAAATTCCAATTTAGTTTGATTTCTGTCTAAAATGTCATTACATCTTATTAGATATTTGACAGTTAATCAATTCACCTTTAAGTCCAAGAGGACATTGGTGCCATATGTTATGAAATTGCTTTCACGAGAATGGGACAGACGCAAGGACCTATTGATTCAAATACAAATATATTCAGCTCTATTTGAGAAACATCCCAAAACATTTGGGAGCTTTATATTACAATGGACTGCACCCAAGATCATTTGCATCATGGTTTGTGAACTCCAATTGGATCGACAAAAATCGAAATGTAGCATCATTGACAAGCATTAAAAATTAGCAAGAGTTGCAACTGGCAAAAGGTTTGGTGGTTGCAAAACTTTAATGCAAACAGCGAACGTTGATAACCTTTGAGGGACGTAGTTGCTCAAGATGGTACAATTAATCAGAATATGTCAACTTGTGTAGTTCACTATAAATACAAACACGTAAATCTTCCCTGTCAAGTTATTAATTACGATCCAGCAGCGGAGCAGGACAAGAGAGAAGCAGATGTGCAGTTAATTAATCTGATGGTAGCTGCAGCTCACCTTCCAGAGCTCCTGACTAACTAGCTGCAGACACAAGCACTCAGCATAATTTCACTGGGAAACACACGCACATACTTAGACACACAGAGAATGCTCATTGTGTTGGCCTGAGACGTTGCCAGAATACCTCGCTTTATAAAAACAGCTTTACAAACCGTTGACAGCAATAATTAACTACAGGTTCACATAATTGAATTCTGCTTCACCCCGTCTTTCCTCCTGCTGCTGCTGGAAGGAAAGAAGGAATGACAGCCGGAGAGAAAGAGAGCGAGGGAGGGAGAATCCTCTCAAAGAAAGGTTACCAGGGCAGACTGTGCCCTCGGTTAAACTATGTGCTTAAGAGGTGACATGAGTGCTGGGCAGGCCAGTGCCAACTTTACATTGAGCTGAAAGGTCCAAACACAGACCGTCTTCCATCTCTGTGGGCTCAAACTGCATGGCACAAAGCCGGATGGTCACTGCTGCTTCACACTTCAAGGCTCAGATGCACAGGATGTTTGGAAGCTTAATTGGAGCATATCTAATTTATTTGGAGTAAGGTGTTGGAAACATTTTAAGGAAGTATTTAGTTGGGCATGGAGACAGTACCGTAATTACTTATTCTAACAGCAACGAAAAAGTGTGTGTGTGTGTGTGTGTGTGTGTGTGTGTGTGTGTGTGTGTGTGTGTGTGTGTGTGTGTGTGTGTGTGTGTGTGTGTGTGTGTGTGTGTGTGTTTCCAGTTTAAACATTTAGACATTCCTGCTAGATAAGCTCCTGGAGCTGGAAGTGTGTGTCGAGGCATTCGGGTTGACTCTCCTTCACATAGCCTCTCTCTTTTCCCCTTTCTTCGTCTCCCAACATATCCAGAGAGACATTAAAAAAGGTAGAACAGACCTGGAGGTGAAGGTGATTTTGTTTTTGATTACGTATATTTAGCGTTTGAAAAATAAATCAACACTTTTGAGTGTTTTAAGGAGTCTTAAGTGGTTGAGTGGGAGAATATATTGCATGTAAAGGACCACAAATGATAAGAGTGTAAAGTCTGCCGAACTATTTGAATAACATATATTTAGATATATAAAAGACCAACCTGTAGATATTTGGAAGAAAACGTAGGGTCGAACAAGTGACGCTAAAGTTACTCAAAGTGTTTTCTCAAGTAGAGTGTGTAGATGTTCGTACCATGAGGATGCGCCGGTAGCTGTCTCGGTCGATGCCCCACAGTTTCAGATCCGTCTTGGCCTTCACGGTAGCAGCTCTTGGAGTCCCATAGATCAGGGCCAGCTCTCCAAAACTACCTCCTTCTCCAATACTGGTCACCCACTCCCCGTTCACGTACACCTGCAGACGGAACAAGAAACAGAATGATGGGGAGAGAGTCATTTATTTTACGCCTGAAGGATGGCAATCATTGCTTTGTAGACTGTGAACATTTAAACCATCTTGAGATAGATTTCCAACCTTCCCCTCTACCTCTCCTTAGTATCCGGGCCGTTTGACATGCTCACTGGGCCTGTCCCTGAGCATTTGATCCCCACTAAGCCCTCAAATGAGACACTCTAAAAGGGCCCTCTATCCTTCCCATCTCTCCGTTCATCCCTTTATTTCCTTTTACCTGTCTTTTTACGACCTACCCTTTGATTTAGAAGTGATGGAGGACAGAAAGCAGTGGTGGACCTTGTGGGTCTACTCAGTATTGGCATTCACAGGGTTGTCCATCTACATGCACAAACATGCACGTCTCCATCTAGGCCAGCCACTATAGCACTACAGACAATGCAACCTCATCGAGCCTCACTCAGGCTGTCTCTAGGGCCGTTACGGTTTCACCTGTCGACACGCTATCCACCATCTTGTTGACTTAAAAACACAGAGAGAAAGGAGAGAGCGAAAGAGGGTTTGTCCCTTCGGTAGCTGTGAATTGCCAAAACTGTTGCAAGCCATTATCCAAAGGCTCAGAGAAGACCACAAGGGACTTATCTTTCACTATAACCTGTGGTGTGCTTCAAAGGGATGCAGAGCTCTGGCTACGGTTACGTCAGGCTTAGAAGAACAATCATATAAATGTTACATCATAGCGTACAGTACAGGTAATATGTTGTCACTCCACAGTTTCCCGTTACACTCCTTAAAAAGTCTTGATCTGTTTGTTTGGTCTTCATTGTTGTACAACTGATCCTCCAAGGTTCCACAGACACTTTCATGTATTTCCTGGTCAGGTGGAGCTGTATCAAATGCTTAAACAATCAGCAAGAAGTCCTAACTGGATCAAGTATGCACTAGTAAAACTTGAGTAAAAACTGATAGTATGTTCAGACTTAAATTGGAAACACTTGTACTGTATCAAGTCAGCACTGTGCATGAGGTAAAATGGAGTTCATCATAAAACAATTCAAGTCCTAAACCGTGTATGCTGTTGCACAGCTGTCACTGGATTTTCAACATGGGAATATCTTCAGTAAGCTGTGTGCGCCTGCTGGTAATTAGGTAGCAACAAATCAAAAGTCCTGGAAGGCGGATTAGCAGTCAGTGGTGCATTTCTGTTCGTAGTTAGGCAGCTCTGTTTCAATGTGTGAGTGAGGGTCTCCATTTGTTGTCTTTTTGGCAGCAGATGTTTAATTTGATTTCAAAATGCCACATTTACTTTAATAGCAATAACAATTAGGACTGTCAAAGATGAGATAAGCAAATGTGTAAAAAATACATAATCAAAAGTAATAATACTTGGATTTTGTTTAAAGCAAAGTAAATATATAAATAAAATACAATAAATGAATAGCTATCGTATTGGGTATTAGTTAATTGTGGAATTTTAAATAAAATTGGACTCCTTACTTTCTGGTATCGTGATATCAATCTGGAGAATATTTGTCATTGTTTTGTGTTGTTTGTGATTTCCAACAACAAATGCATATATACTTGCATAAAGCAAGCATATATTCTGTACCTTTGGTAAATCATGCAATTCATCATGATTCATATTGAAATCGACTGAAGGCCCTAATAAGTAAAGTATTGTATAATAAAGTACAATGGGAGCCAGAGCCTTTTCTTATCAAGCTCCACATTTGTGGAATCAGCTCCCAGTTTGTGTTCGGGCGGCAGACACCCTATCCGTTTTTAAGAGTGCGCTTAAGAACTTCCTTTTTGATAAAGCTTATAATTAGGGATGATTAGATTCAGCCCCTAGTTTTGCTGATATAGGCT